GCTTTTTTTATGCCTTTTTATGTTTTTGTTTGTTCTTGTATGTTTTGTGTTTGTTGTAAAAATAAAAAAATATTTAAAAAAAATGATAGAGGAACTGGTTTCATTGTCCATGGGAATGAGGTGGACATGACAGAAGTCAGAAGCATTTGACAAAGTCTCCCATGAAATTCTTGTAGAGAAAGTGACTAAAAGTGGGCTGCACTATGCAACCATTAGATGAAAAGAGCTAATGGAAGCATTGTATCCAACAAGTGTACATCAGTGATTCTGAATCATGCTGGAAGAAAATGCCAAGTAACATAGTTGCACTGTTCAATATTTTCATAAATGAGTTGGATGAGGGGTTAGAAAATATTATCAGATTTGAAGACATCACAAACACCTTAGGGGACAGGATCTTTGGGAGGATCTTGATAAGCTGGAATAATGGGCAGAAACCAACAACCTGAATCTCAACATGGAGCAATGTAAATTCCTCTGGATAGGACAAAATCAAAGATACGAGTATAGGATGGGGAGACTATAGTGGGGATCAGGATATGTGAAAAAGATCTGGGTGTATTGGTGGATCACAAGCTAACATGAGCCTACAATATGATGTAGCTGCAAAAAAAAAAAAATACAGTCCAAGGATGCATCAACAGAGGTATGGTGTCAAGAACAAGAGAAGTCACTCTGCTCTATTCTGCACTGGTCATACTCTACTTAGATTATTGCATCCAGTTCTGGGTGCTGCATTTCAGGAAGAATATTGATACTGCCAGATTGAAGTGTGTCCAGAGGAGAGCAACCAAGATGACATAAGAAACAATAGGTTTAAATTGCAAGAAATAAATACTTGATTAAACATTGGGAAGAATCCCCTCATGGTACAAGTTCAACAGTGGAACTGACTGCCTCAGGAGATGGTAAACTCTCCTTCATTGGAGGTGTTTAAAAGGAGTCTGGATAGCCATCTGTCAGGGATCCTGTAATAGTAGATTCCTGCAAGACATTTTCCAAACTTTATATTCTATGACTCTTTAGTGTGTCATGAGCCATCCAAATTCAACCACTGAGCTGTTAGATATCATTATTGAAAAAATGTTCCATCTTTTATTCAGCTATGTAGTGTAGAGGAGAGATTGAAAGAAAAAAATCAATTTCACTTTTTTTTTTTTACTAATAATAAAAAGTTGTTTGAACTGTTGAAAGTCCTCAGAAAACTCTGTCAAGTATACTTCTACAGACAAAAGATCAGGTAATGAATCATAGGTATGAGAATTGTTGCTCACCCTGAATGAAAATAAACTTGGTTCACTTATTCATAGAATTTGATTACTACAAAGGAAACATAATCCAGATGTGTATCCATATGAGTATATGTTTGTGTGTGTGCATGTACAATTCTACTTTTTGTAAATTTAAACCTCTATTTGTATTAGCCACATTATGATAATTATTTTTATGTGTGTGCCTTCAAGTCAGTCTTGGCTTCTGGTGACTGCTTGGATGAGTTCATAAATTTTCTTGGCAAGATTTTTGGAAGTGGTTTGCCATTGCCTTCTTCCTAGGCTGAGAGAGAGTGAGTGGCTCAAAGTCATCCAGCCTTTATGCCTAAGGCAGGATTAGAATTCATGGTCTCCCAGTTTCTAACCTGGTGTCTTAAACTACTACAACTGGCTGCCATATAATTATTACAAACATATACAATTAGAGTTAGATATATTAATAATTTTTATTGTAAACAGAAAGTTTACACTTTTTCAGACTATACAAATAATTATTTGTAAGAACAAGTAAATGATCTCATGATAGCTACTGAACATACTGCATAGTGTAGTGCAGGCACATTTTAAATTTTGAAAATTCAAAAAGAAATTGTCCCCCTACCCAAAATAATTAATAATACCATTTTTTATACTCAGGACTA